CCCTTCAACAAAGTTGAAGAGGTGCTCAAAACATGGCACTTTACAGTTTGGGTCGGAGCCTAGAAATGCTTGCAAGTAAGACTAAGATATCATGCAAGATAGAGCTTCAAAGAGGGAGAAGAGGACTTACCCTTGTAGCACAGCAATGCAGCAGCTTTTGGTCCCAAAAATCAGTCCCTTAGCCTCTGAAAATGATCTCCAAGAACCTCCAAGCAATGGTGGAAGTGTGTGGTTGTGAGATGGTGTGTAAAGGGCCAAGAGTAATGGACTTTTGAGCTTTGGAGAAGAGAGCTATGGAGGAAGAAGGGTGTATCTATCAGATATATATGTATATCTCTGGTTTTTTGTTCAAACCATCCAACCTAGACAAAGGGAGAGGAATGGTGCTTATATAAGGCAAGGGAAGCATTTAACTTACAAGCTAAGTAAAGGGAAAGGGTCAAAGGGGTCCAAGGGGGTGCAAGGCTTCTAGAGGAAGCTAAAACAGCTGGCCAAGCTTCTCCAAGAAGCTTGGCCAAAGGGTTCAAGCTTCTAGAAGGTTAAGGGGTTCAAAGGCTCACAAGGTGCAAAACAAACACACATGTGCGTGGGGGATCGATTCTGTGCATTCCAGCTGGCACAGCTGGAATCCACTCAATCTGCAGAATGCTCCGGAAGGTCGTCGGCTAGCAAAAATTGCCGGTCAGCACAATAAAGTGCCGGTCGGCACAATAAAGTGCCGGTCAGATAAATACAGTGCCGGTGCATGGCCGGTAAGGTCAAAAAAACAGCCGGTTGGTGTCCAAATTGAAGCCCCGGAAGTTAGCTTTCCAATGGCGCAAACCTTGCATTAAAATTCCTCCTGTGGAAAAAGTTATGCCCATTTTGGTGAAGCCGCGCAGATTCGATCCAACCGGGATGATACCCAACTTCAACCAATCATATCTCCCCCACCCGGACTTGGCTTTAAGAGATTCTTGAGTGCAAAATGAAGCCCCGGAAGTAAGCTTTCCGACGGTGGTGGCCTCATAGCTAAACTCCAAGTGTACAGACAGATAAGCTCGATTCAGCGAGGGCTGCTCGACTCGCTTCTACCCGGATTCATGCCGAACTTTTCCCAAACTAGTTTTCTCCTCTCCTTTCCTCTCTTCTTCAACTCCAAACCCCTAAACAAAGTGTTTTGAAGGATTTGCCTCTCTTCTTGCCGAAGAAACTGATTCTTTGCCCTGCACAACTCTCAACACTCAGCAAACCATCAGTAGTGCCAAAGTCTTAAGGGCGGTCAAAAATGGGGTGTCTACAGACATTTATTTATTTTTCCATCAAATTTAAGTAAATATTTGAGTAAAAATTTTCATTTAATATCGTGTATTCCAACAGAGTAATTAGAGATTTTATCAAATCACCGGTCAACCAGGATGATGACCGAGGGATGTCTAACTGGTCGATCAACCAGTGTAAATTTTTCAAATTTTGAAACAAACTTTTCCAAGGAAGTGGTCAATGGGGGGATAATTGGCCGGTCATCTGGTGCTCGTGCATTCTCCACTAGCCACATGTAAAGTTGACTTTTAACTAACTTGTCAAAAAAAAAGGTGATGTGACTAAAAAATATTAAAAAATCAAAAAATTGATTTTTAATTAACTTGCCACAATAGGCCTAAATTGGATTAAAATAAAGTGTCGCAACTATGGTTTGGATGTGATATTTTTTTCTTATTGACTTTTTAACTTTTTTTTTTTTTTTTTTTTTTTTTTTTTGTGTGTGTGACTATTTTAACCTAAAAAATTCATGCGAAACATAACCTCAAAAAACTAAATAAATTGTTAAGCCAATTAGTACTTTTTTTTTATCTTCCTTCAAACGTGCTATTAATGTTTGAGAAAAATATTAAAAAAATCTTGAAAGTAAAATGTGCGAGGTTAAAGATATACTAATATGAATATTATAGAGGCTAAAAATGATTATGGCTGGCATAATAATATTATTAATTGGGATCTTCAAAGACAAAATATTAAAAATAAATAAATAAATAAAAGATTTTGTTAATAAGTGTTTCACGATAAAAATAAAAGACAATATTTAAATAATGTAATTTTTTTTATTAAATTTAATATATTTTTATTGAAATCAATTAGTGTGTTTAGTTTGAGTTTTCTGGATTAAGTTTTTTGATTTTCATATTTTTTTTAGTGAATATTTTAAAAATTTTAAATTTTTTTTTTACTTTTTTAGATGCACCTTATTTAGATATATCTAAAAAGTAAAAAATTTGTGAAAAAATACGGGAAGACAATTCAAACCTTCGATCGTGATCATCCACGTGACAGTTAGTATTGGTTCTTACCAGATCTGCGTCACACTGGATCAACAAAGAGGTGCGAAGTGATGTGGTTTCAACGGTTACTCACATTCAAATTCAAAATTAGGAGAGAAGCCTAACTGCAAGTAATGGCATAGTGGAACTAACTATAAGGCAACATGATCAGCGATCATGGAGGAGTGATTCGACGGTTAGAAGTGCAGTTCGATGGTCATCATTGAGAAGTATAAATAGCAGAGAAGGCCCTAGAAAAAGGCCTAGACTCAGATCCAAAAAACCAGTTTTATCTATTTTATTTCCTTTCCAGTTTTACATTTCCTGTTCTTTGTATTTCTGTACTAGAGATGGCAATTTGAAACCGGCCCAACGGGGATCCCCGATCCCGACCCCGATTTAAGCGGTTTTTTCCCGAAAAATACTCCCGACGGGGAGGGAATGGTATTCAAAAATTAATCCCCGATTAATTTCGGGCCGGGGACGGGGATAGGCTCGTCGGCCCCGGCCCCACCCCGGAATTTCCCCGATTCATCCACGCCTCTGTATCTCTTTGTATTATATAAATATTATTAGTTGTATTATATTTTGTATTATATAAATATTAGTTGTACTTTTGATCTCAACTCTCTTAGATCTCAACACTCTCACTGACTCACTCTCTCAAGTCACATTCTCTCTCTTACTCTCTCGTCTCTCTCGTTCTTCTCTCTCTCACTCTCACCGACACGGCGACACAGTCACCTGCTCCTCTCTCTCACTCTCAGTCACCGACATGGCGACACCACCACCACTCTCTCTCACACCTCGTTTGCTCTCTCAGCTCTCGTCTTCAGTCGCTGATCACACACCAGTCATCGACACCACTACCACCGCTGGTCCAGACTCCAATCTACAGATCTGTTGTTTGAATCTGTTTACTGGATGATGATGATTATAGGTCTGTTGTTTGAATCTGTTTAATGGATGATGATGATTATAGATCTGTTGTTTGAATCTGTTTACTTGGATGATTATAGATCTGTTGTATGATTATAGATCTGTTTCCACCGCTGGTCCAGACGCTGATCTCATTTTTTTGTTTTTTTTAACTGGGGAATGTTCGGGGTCGGGGAAGCCCGATCCCCATCGGGGGTCGGGGGTGGGGGTGGTGATACGTTCCCCGTCAGGGATCGGGGCCGAGGGAAATTTGACCATCGGGGATCGAGGACGGAGAAGGTGATCCCCGGCCCCGCTACGCCGCGCCGCGTTGCCATTCCTAGTCAGCAATTTACCATAAATAAAATATAAGAGTATTACCCAACAAACAACACAAAACCGGTAGAGAGAGAATTTTAACGCCGTAAGCTGGGCTGCAACGACGTTTCCCAAACGGCGTTTCTGGATAACGGGAAAACCAAACACACAAAAAGAAAATTCGAATAAACAAAATCGAACTCTCCATAAAATGATCCATCAACGAGAGAGAGAGAGAGAGAGAGTTTGTAGAATTTGAAGGAAATTCTGCAACATTTGGTCCTGTGAGAGCTACTATATATACATCTTCAAGTATCTTTGGATCGATTCCTTCTTTTTCACTTTGACATTCCAGTTTTCTGAGGAGTATGAAAGTTGAATTGCTCAAAACTTGGTCGTAATTCAGATCGAAGGTATTCATATTTTAGATCTCTGTTTCTTCCATCTTCATTCTCTGCATCCGACAATTTTTATTATTTTTTATGAGTCGTTTGTATTAAATTATGAATAATTCAAAATTTTTGGTTATGTTTTTGCAGAAATTTGAGCCAACGAAGTTGAATTGCCTGTGCACAGATTTTCTCGGAAATCACAGGATTTAACTTTCTCGCGAAACATTCAAGAAGGTTAACCACTGCATGTTTTCATAATTCGCTTCCGTAACTGAAGAATTTCGATTGATTTGGGTATAGAAACTTCGTGTTTGGATAGAAGAAGTGAAGATGAGCCTAAAACTTCTCTCAGAAGTTTCCTCTCTCTCTCTACATGACATCGGATCTGAGAACTAGAAGCGTTTTTAATTTGCATTTTGAGTTGTGAAATTCAAACAATTCAGAACTTGGGAGTGGTTGATTCTCTGGAAACTGAGAGTACTCGAAAATCGCTCCACCTCTGGATGGAGTTTCCTCAACGCCGTCCCCTTGGAACCCAAGGTAATTTATAAATGCAAATGATACTGATATATGCATACAAATTACAATTTATCCATTATCAGGTATGAAAGAGAATTGATATATGTTACAATTTATTGTAATGTATGTGTATATATATATATATATTAGTGGGTGGCACACACTGTGCAATAAGTAAGAATAAGAAAAAATAATAATGAAATTAATATTATAATATGTACTTAGTTTAAGTGGTATGAGTCCTTATACTTAAACCCATGGTCATGGGTTCAAACCTTGCCCATCTCTTTGTTTAACTTTTTTTTATAAAAAAAAATACTGCCACATGACATGAGGAGAGTAAAGCTTCAGGACACCATATTATGTGTTCACTTTATAATAGTATAGATATCTCTCCTTTTGCAGGAAAGGTGTCAACACATGACTTTCTTTCACTGTGGGCCAATTTGAGAACATAAAAGTTACTTTAACATATTTTGAGTCAGATTATTTTCTTATTTTTTACATATTTTTTTTATAAAAAATTAATCTTTAACTAATTTTTCAAAAAGATCCAAGACCTCCAGCTAAATATGTATTTTTCATTCATGTTAGGCTGTAAAATTATGTTTGGCTCGTGAATTTAGATAGATTTTTTTTTTTTTCATTTCGTTTGACTTTTACTTTATATTTTAAAAATTTTACTTAAATTTATTATTTAAACGCATCATAAAAAGAAAGCAAATGAGAACAATCCAAGAATGATTGTGACTCTTTTTTTGGAATTTTTATAATTTTTTTTGGATGTTAATTATTGATGGTGTGAGTTTCACACATATATAAATAGATTTTATACGTACATCAATAATTAAAATTCAAAAGAGATTATATAGATCTCCAAAAAAAAAATAAAAAAAATAAAAATAATCTCAATCATTTTTCGAGAACAATCTGCTGATTTTTGTATGCATGTTCTGTGTTGGAAATATCTATACCACTGAGTATCTAATATTGATTAATGCTGTAAATATTAAATTTATCATTGAATTAGTGCAATGGACTACACTTTTCATATGTTGTATCAATTCATAAAAGACATAATTTAGTACAAAAATGTTTAAGAACATTAAAAATAGAATTCTAACAAGAACTCTACTTATGTGGTAGTGGACTCTATTCATGAATGATTTGGTGTATGTGTCTTGTTTTTTTTTTTTCATGTCACATCATTAGAGCCATTGTTAGAGTTCTAAATTTAGAGTTATGAATCATTGCTCAATATATAAAAATTTGATCATAAATATTACGTTATCAATTAACGGAACTATCCCATTTTGTAAATATACATGTATATATATGGCCTGTTTTGTCAATTAAGTTAAAAGTCAATTTGTTAGTTTTTTGATTTTTTTTTTAATCACATTATCTCTTTATTTTTTTTTCTTTTTTTTTTAAAAGTAAAAAAAAAAACTTTTAACCTACTTATTAAAGTAGACATATATATATATATATATTTACGATGTTGATTGAAACATATCATACAATACTTCAATAATAATTAGTCATGGGCAAATTACACGTTTAGACTGTAGTTGTTTGTGTCATTTTAGTTTCTACAGTTTTAATTGGCTTAATTTGACTCTTAATTTTAAATTTTGCATCAATTTGGTTTAATTAATAACATCTTTAGGGTTTTTTATGGAAAATTATCAGTGAGTTAGTTGTGATTAAATCGCTGAATTGATCAAATTTATGACTTTGAGCCTAAAAGCATGACACATGTCGCTTATGTGCACATTTGCTATAAAAAATATTAACAATTGGAATCAACTAGACTAATTTGAGACAATTGAAAAATCAAAATAAAAATTATATGAATCAAAATGACACAATGATCAAAATAGAGACTAATATCTAATTTGCCCATTAGTCATCATCAATTAACGTACCCTATTTGAATCATATGGATCTGGACCATGTGTTTGGATGGGCCATGTGTTTGGATAGGTTGACAATGCCAAACAGAAAAGAGAGAGGGATTGGGGCTTAGGACCGTAACGTTACACTAAATTTTTACTCTAGGACCATCAAGGTTGGTGTGTGGCATTTTGGGATGGCTTTATTTGTTTTTTTTTTTTTTTTGGGTGGGACCAGCAGTAGTTAACACGACACACATCATCATAATCCCTATGCGAGTATGCATGCATCGTATTCAAATTTCCCAAATTAGAGTCCAGCAGAGGCACGTGATCATGAGATAGTTTTAGGATACCTCAGGACCTATTTTGGTAAAGATAGGTCCTTAGTTGTTGTCGCCTTGTGTCTAAACATTTTACAAGGTTAGATGGATCCTCTACACTCTACTGTAGAGTATTCCTCAGTTCTTATTGTTGAAGGCTTCAATTTTTTAAAATTTTAATAAGATAGGACTTGTACGGGGAGCAAATATTCTGGCAAGTCCGTACTCCTTTCTTCCGAGCTCCGTTTCTGTCCGATCACCTGCGAGCAAATAACGGTGAGCTACCCGGCGGTGTATGGCCGGAAAAACCCTCCGATGATCAAGTTAGCACACACCTTAGGATAGAGAGAGAGGGGAGTGTTTGAGTGTAAGAATTCCTTACAAAGTGTCCGTCCCGCGTATGGGGGGCGCAGACATGCTTATATACCCTCTGCGCCCCATATCCACTCCTAGTCATCTCCTGACACGTGGCTCCGCTATCCCATCTGTCAGCATAAACCTTGCTGAACATCACCTAATCTCAACTGCCTACCTTCTCAACTGGAGCTCGGCAGCCGAGCTGCCCTATCCACGGCCGTGCTGTGCTTCATACCCAAGCACTTCACTAGCTAAGCCCAAGGAGGACCGGGCTAGGCGGCATCTCGGCAAAACCTAACCCGGGGCACCTCCTGTGGTCGGCCTTCCTGCCGATCAAATGATTACCTCGGCTGGCCACGCCTTTTCGGGCGCCGGTCACTCAGCTTGACAGGCTCCACCATCGCCTAATCAAGCAGCTCGGTCCAACCGAGCACTGCCTTGCCGAGCAGCTTCTTTACGGTTTGGGGCGGCACATACTTGGCCCAACTCCTGCCCAGCCCAAGTTCTGGCAGCCCATCTCCGGGCGGATCGCCGGTCATCTCGGCCCCATACACCAATAGGCTCTCAACCTGCTCGGCCGTTACCTCGGCCCAATTCCAGATCATAAATCTCCCTCTCAGGACCTTATTATAATGTTTGGCTTAAGATTTTAAAAAATTCTTAAATTGTTACTGCTATTGGTGTTTAAGTTAGACAATGAGATACGTGCAATGTGTGGCCCCTCACAATTCTTCACAATTGCTCTAGCATCTGAGTTAAGCGGGCTTACTTAAGGAACCGGACATGATTCATCATTCGGCTTGGACTTTGGAGTTTTAGATTCGTATGAAGGAAAGGGAAACAATTATTTGATGTAGAATGTTTATAGTGATAGGATATTAATCAGTCACATGGAACACATTGTATTAAATTATTGTGAGTGTGTCATGTCAAATAGTAAATATTAAATATGGTGAGAAAATTTAGTCATCTTAGCATATGATTATTTGGAAATTTTAAATGTCCTCCACTTTTAAGTGTTAGGCGGGTATAGTAGTGCAAGAAACTCCTATTAAATCGGAGTTACCTATTAAACAATGTTTAAAATGAACAAAAATTCTGAAATCACTCTTTATATATATCTATGGAAGTTTCTTCAATTTCTCTGAATTTTTTGGTTTTATTTCAAATTAGTTAAAGAATTAGGTATGAAAGTGACTAATTTCGAAATACTGTCGTCATACTTCTCCGATCTGATCTGAACTCCCATCTAGTAACTATGTTTTGCTCATAATACACTTAAAGATGCCTCGTCTAAAATTGCTGGTTCTGAAAAAATAAGGGGGGGGGGGAAACTACCTCCATTTGAGTTTCACCGATTACTATAATCATCCCATTTTTTAAAAAAAAGTAAATTAATAATTTTAAGTTAAATTTTCTATTGAAAACACCATATTATTCTGATCATCCAGGTTTTTTATTTTTATTTTTATATATATTTAAAAAAACAGGTAATTACCTTAAAACACATGACTTCTTGCAACCACTGGAGGGGAAGAATGGTGGCAAGGAAGAAAACACAGTTGAGATCACAACAGCGGGGAAGCCTCCACCACCATCTCTGCCTCCTTCAGGTGAGCAGCTGATTCTTCCCGGGGGAATAGGGACTCACAGTATGAGCCACATTTCTTATTTTAACCAAAGGGTTCCAAAGCCAGAAGGGGACATACTGGTTGTGGCTCAGACAAGTAGTACAGAGGGAAATGAAGAAAACTCAAACTGCAGTTCTTACACCGGAAGTGATTTCACACTCCGGGAAGAATCTGCATTGAAGAAGGGAAAGACGAGGAAGGAGAATATTGCCGGAGGCCGACAAGTTACAACAAGAGGTAAGAAGAATATGTTCTATATATAATGGAATTCCTGCTTTTCTACTTCCCTATCTTCCAGGAACTCAAAAGTTACTAGTTTTAACAGGTGATGATTTGATGGTGAAAGTGGTGGGTGGGAAGAGCACTGATCAGAAGCCTAACAACCCACGATCAAAACACTCAGCAACAGAGCAGCGTAGGAGGTGCAAAATCAATGACAGGCATGTTAAACCAAACCCAACTCAGAAATTTCCTAAATCAATTTCATTGTGGTTTTTTGGTTCAATTTCATCATTAGTGCCTTCAAGTCTTCAACTTTGTTGTATTATGATATCTGCTTTAGCTTTGGTATTGCATTTGGATTCCATATTTTGAGTTAAAAAATAGTCCCCCCTTTGCATGGGATTTCAACTAATAGGTTTATTCTTGGGATTCTTGGGATAAAGTTGCTTAGACTTAAAAAGAGGGGACATTCTGTTTGCCAAATAAAAGAAAAGGAAAAACTCAGCAACCATGTTAGTTTAGGGTGGCCTATTGTGAGTGCTTCGAAATAGACCCAGCTCCTCAAACTTCTTTCCACTCCTACACTGAGGGAGTTGAGTGTAGAGAGAAATTTTGGAGTGTATTTAGAATCTCCCCTAGTTGTTGGGGCAATGTTTTGGTGAATAGATAGAAATTAAATTGCAGCTATTCACATAAAATTGTTATGACAAGATTTGAGATGCTTCTGTTTACACCACGGTTTTATCTCCTTGCACACTTTTTAAAATACTTTTTTGTCACAATCTTATCCCTTTGTAGAATTATATACTAATATAATTTCTATTTACATTGGTGACTCTTTCTTCCCATCACCCATTACCACCCTTCAATTCCACCAACCACCACCACCCAGTCCATCATCATTTCTCCTCCAGCAACCATTGTCACCCTCTTCCCTTTCACTCATCCTCTCCATTCCTTCTATAACTCTTAACAAATTCATAGAGAATGTCAAAAAAAAAAAAAACTCATAGTTAAAATGTATCTGATAATTGTACCTGGCTTTAACAGCCATGTGTAAGGGAGATTTTCCATAATTGTTGAGATAAAGACAAACTTCCAAATTAGCTTCGATCAACAATCGAGCTACTTCTTTGTGACCATTCTCCACTACAAGGTGCAGTGGAGTCTTCTTCTCTTTGTTTTCGTCTCTCAATAGATATTTAGGTGTCGTTTGGCAAACTTGGCTTTTTGGTTTTTTTGCCTTTTTTAGCCTGGGACTTTTTTGTTCGGTTGGTTTTTTTGTTTGGATTTTTTGACTTGTTTGCCTTGGAATGACAAAATTGCCCTCCATTTGAAATGATATTTTTTTGACTTTTTGTTTGTATATGGGTCAATTTAGTAATTTTGCATCAAAAGTTAAGTGTTTTGTCATTTTGTGATTTTGTGGCCTTTTTTTGTCCTTATGTGCTTATTTAGTGCCAGCTCAAAAACCAAACCAAGGCTTAAAATCTCCATTTGAAAGATAAACAAGCAAATTTACTGTTGATAGTTTTTCGCCATTAGTGGCCAAATGAAAGGGGAGGTCACCCTTTAATTATTCAATTGGACGAGTTCATTAGGATTGTTATAAAAAATGCAAGAAACTAATCATTCATGGCCTTCCTTTGCAACAATGTGCAGAATAGAGTTTAAGTGGGTGAAAACTTGGGCCAGTACTCATAAAGTAGCAATCTTGTTGCAACTCATAAAGGCCGGCCAAATTGCCTCTAGTTAAACTCTGTTTTCTAGAAGGCCATGACCAATTGGTTTCTTGCACATTTTTTTTAAATTTTTTTTATAACAGCCCTAATGATCTCGTCCAATTGAAGAATTAAAAGGGTGACCTCCCCTTCCATTTGGCTGCAAGTGCCATAAAATTGTCAAAAGTAAATTTGTTTGTTTCTTTTGCAAATGGAGATTTTAAACACTTGTTGAGAGAAGAAAACGAAGAGAAGAAGACTCCACTGCACCTTTTAGTGGAGAATAGTCTCAAAGAAGTAGCTCGCTTGTTAATCCAAGTTGATACAGAAGTTTCTCTTTATCTCAATAATGATGTAAAGTCTCCCTTACACATGGCTGTTAAAGTTGGGTATAATTATCATCTATACATTTTAACTGTGTTTTCTATTTTTTATTTTATTTTAATTTTTAAGTAGCTCACTTCAAGACCAGGACAACCCTTGGTCTTAAAGTGATATGTTTTAATGAGTACATAAATTCCAAAACTTTCCGATGAATAGTTGCCAACATTTTAAGATATTGAAATTTGAAAGTTGTTAAAGCAGATTTCAGATGTTGAAAGACGTCATTCCTCATAGTGATCAAAAGAGAGATAAAGCATCCTTCTTATTGGAGGTACATGGATGCCTTCAGATATTACTTGTCCAATTTGTCTCTTCTAATGAAAATAATCTCTAAACGTCAAAATACAGTGATGGAAAATTTGAATCCCTATGTAGGTTACGGAGTACATTCAATATCTGCAAGAGAAAGTGCACAAGTATGAGGGATCATACCAGGGATGGAATCAAGAACCAGAATTGATGCCATGGGTAAGTCCTATACTTCGAGTTTTGTCATTTTTTTGCATGTTTTGTGCGGCCAAGTTATTGGAAAAGGGATAAGTTTGCGTTACATAGCTGAAAGGCAAAAAAAAAAAAAAGGCCTAAAATTTTTACTAACATGTATCAAATTATTGATCTAATGGTTGGGGTGTTCCTTGTAAGTGGCCATGGACTAAAAGGGAGGTGACTTAAGGAAAGTATATGACTGAAGTGTGGCCCTAGAGTAGAAAATTATTTGTGTAGCCTCATTGAGGGTAGATGCGGACACGGGACACAGATAGGACACAATATTGACATGCCAACATAGCAGGGACATTTTTTGTGCATCTAAGCTATGGATGTGCCCTCAAGTTTACGAAGCATCTCCATTTCTAATTTTATTTTTTAAAAAGTAATACGAAATGCTTGGACACGTGTCCAACAAGTGCCAAGGAATGTCCATCACAAACTCGACATCTCCTTAGGAGTGTCAGTGGTTCTTTGGTGTAGTGTAACTCAGTAGGTGACAAATGCTTAATTTGGTTCAATTCTGCATGTGCAGTAGGCACACATCATGGCCTGGGATAGTGGCAATGAATTAGACTAAGGAAATGTGAGCATCATTGCATATGTTCACTATACATATAAATCACAATTGATTGAGAACAATTCCATTTAATCTAATCCATGTTGCAGTGTCATATGCAGATAGCTAATCACTCTTTTAACTTGATTAATGACTCTTTCTCATGTGTTCAAGCAGAGAAACAATCACAAGCCCATAGAAGCTTTTGTTGATCAGTCTCAAGCCACAGATAGTGGCTCTGGTCCAGCATTAATGCTTGCTGCTAACTTTGAGGAGAACAACATCAATATCTTCCCTACCAATCCAAGGAATGGACAGAATACAAAAGAATATAAAATGAAAGCAATCGATCAGAACTCCGAATTCACAAATATGGCAGTGCCTAATGTGCCCTTGCAGAGCAGATCACGTGCAGTGGATTGCGCTGTTACGAGCAAAAAGCAAAAGGAACTGGAAATGTCTATTGAAAGTGGTACAATTAGCATCTCAAGTGTATACTCTCAACGGTGAATATTTGTGTTCCCTTGTATTCCTTTAATTTATGCATGTTCTCGGGCTAACAATGGATATCTTGTGCATTTCGACAACTTAAAAGAAGGGTATGAAAGAAATTATGAGTTCGGTTCACGGTGTGTTGTCAAAGTACTCACCCTTCAGAGTACTTTGGACAATCTTAGTTTAGCTCATGTTGTTGCATGTTTTATTCTCAATTATTCGATTCTCTTTTTCATTCTTTGTTAACGGAAGAGTCATGCTGGGATTACTCGGTGTTATTGAAGCCTTTTTCGTGAACTGACAAGTTTTAAGGATATGTTGTGAACAGGTTGTTAAATACTCTAAGACAGACACTCCAGAATTCTGGAGTAGATTTGTCGCAGGCCAGCATTTCGGTGCAAATTGATCTCGAGAAGCCACCACTACATAGTGGATTCACTGCTTCAACGTCTGCTGTGAAGGTACTTGGACTTCCTTTTCCGAGACTCCAATGTTCTTTATTTAAGTTTTACATTATATTGATTTTTTAAAGCTTTGACAAAATAAAACTACGTAATTAAGAGCAAGTTTCTTGTGTCAGGAGGATAATGAGATTCCTTCAAGAAATGCAGTGATAGCACATTCTAGAGGTGCAAGCAGAGGGGAGTCCTCCGATCGAACCCTAAAGAGGCTCAAGCCAAGATAGTATGACATTTCAATGATAATTATTATTTTTTTTGTTTTCTCTATTGTCTGATTTATTATTATTATTATTATTATTGGGATTCCTTTAGTTTTTTCATTGGAATTTTATTGACGTGTTGTCCAGGTTTACAAACTACCCAGTTGAGAGACCAGGACCCATTATTTTTACATCTAGTGCTCTCTCCAGACTGTTCGGATGCACATATTTTCCTCGCAACCAAACACCTATTTTCTATTTGTATTTGTTTGTCATTACCAGTATAGAAGTTTCCATTATGACATTGAGAAGCTTCTTTTTTCTTTTTTTTTTTCGTACTTTCTTTCTCCTTGTTTGGTGGTTATGTAAGAATTTTATTTGGATTGGATTTGTGTTTTCAATAATTCTTGAGCAGCAACACGTTTTCACTTGCACACACCATTTCGAAGAATTTCACTATTGGTATAAAGACAAATTGACTTTTATTTACAAATTTTATTTGTTTACTTATTTATTTATCTGGGTCATGCAATGTATATAAGAAATTGTAAAAATGTGGTGGAACTAACTCATAATGCTATTCTTACATAAATTTCATACAAACAAATATGGCAAGAATGATTTGACAATATCATTTTAATAAATAAATGTCATTTTTATAGATATTTTATTTTGAAGTGAATGATTTATATTGAATCTCATCATTATGTTTAAAATTTTATATAAATTTTTTGTTTATATATATCATTACTCTTCATGGAATTGTAAAAAGGTAAAAATTATAGAAAACCAAATTTAGCCCCCAGAAAAAAGACGGTTGGAGGAAGGCTGGAGATATTTATTTAATTTATTAAAGGATTTGAATTCTATAGAGTTCAAATGATTCATTAAAAATTTAGATAAATTACAAATACACTTTTTAAAATTTACTTAAAATACTAATCATCTCTTATGATTTTAAAAATTACATCATGCTCCTTAAAATTTCTAATCACATAACAAATAACTCATCTTATTAATCAACCATTAAATCAATTAATAATTTTTAATAAAATCAACTATATTTCAATTAATAGTTAAGATAATTTCATTGTTGTATGAGAAGATAGTTAAAATTTTTATTTTTTCTATCAACTCTACTGAATGACAAATTCTGATAAGAAATATTTATAATTTCAAAAATCACATAAAACAATTTGTATTTTAAGCAAATCTCGAAAGGTGCGTCTGTAAATTACCCTAATAATTTATGATCCCCTCCACTGTTGTTTTATCTAAAAAATATAATAATGAAAATGTTGATGTTTGACATTATCATCCAACGAAGGCCATTTCGATTCTAACACGGATTAAGTCTGTAGATTTATCGACGAGGCGAAGAGATTTGTTGTTAGGAAGTTTTGGGAAAATTGATTCAGTTATTCATAAACGCAGAGGTCGTCCGAGTTGACGCAGAGCTGGTGATGGAACTAGTGATATTGATCTTGGTCCGTCGATAGTAAATAAAACTGAGTGATTTCATAAATAAAACTAATAAATTTTTTCATTAATCATGATAGTGGTTACATTAACATCAAACCATTCTCATTTTTAGGGACATTACATCTAACCAACTACTGTCCTCATTAGTTAATATAATATAAGGAATTCCTCTTTTAATAGTGAAATCTGGTTGGAATTTAACAAAGTTTAGATTTCTATACAAATTAAAATTTTATCTAATAGTAAATAGAATAACATTATTTTAACCTCAAGATGTGCCCTTGTAAAAAAATAAAATGAGGTAGCACCACAAGGAATACATCTATTTGCAGTAGCCATACATAAGCACATTCATGAAATAACCTTGACGAATCAATAGAATGATTGGAAATTTGTCATATAGCTCAAGCATATTCTACAAAAGATTTTGATCCCTATACACACAATTCAATAAATAAACCACTTAACAAACATCCCATTGAAGCCCAACTATTGATATGGTTGAGAGAGCCCACAACATGCCCTATGTGTCTATATTGGTCATATAAACATGCTTTGACTAGGTCTTCAATCAAAGGTAGGTAGGTATACCCAATTAAAAATATAGCAAAAACATAAAAATGGAAGGACCATGGACTAATCTTCCAAGAACCCACATTTCCAGATTAGCCGAATCTATAATTGCGAGAAGAAGTCTAAGAACACATTAAACCAATCAAAGAATCGGATCCAATTCTATGATTGGTTTCCATGTTCCTAGAAGAACTGTTGCAACCCTCTTTGTGTACACACTGCAGTTTGAGTCGATCGATATCTCACCCTGCAATGGCAAGGCAGCTTCTATACATGAATTTGTTTATTGGAATATATGAAGAGACATTGATGTACCTTCCACCATGATCTTTTCAAGATTTGCTGGCTCAGAACAAAATCCATCTCTGGCAAAATGTCTGTCAAGAACTGCTATCTCTAAATCTGGAGGATATATTGATCAAATGCAACCACCAACCTCCTAAAAGTTCATGCACTATTCAACAACAGTTCATCTGATGGTTGTTGCAAACACTCCTCGGGGTTGGCATAGAAATAATCCTCCTCTTTAGGTCTGTCGGGAATTACTAACCTTCTAGTAGGGTTTCCCATGCGATCTGCGTGAACTTCCTTTACGGCAGATGAGAATTCATCCCAACTTAGTGCTCCACTATTGTATTGGTCTATCAGATCAACTAAAAGCTTTCTGTCCAATAGAATTGTCTTCTTGAACCCTACGTATCTGAAAAGCATTGCAACACAAAGCTAACTCAGTTCAGACAAAGTGCTCTATCTAAATGAATAAATATCCACAGGACTATAACATTAAAGGTTATTAACTAAGAACCCAGAAATACTAAAGATCAACGAAAACAAGAAATGAAAAAATTAGAACTAACAATCTTTAACCAAAATGACACAAACCTTCCAAAGTCTATCAATCTATCTACTAAGGCTATGTTTGGATCATCGATTTGGGTAAGAATTTGGAAAGAGAAAAAGAAAAAGTGGATGAAATGTGAAAGAAATATAATTACATTTCACTCACCTTTTTCCTTTATGTGGCTCATTATGGACCTTTCACTTTCCTTTTTCCTTATGTGGCTCATTGTGGACCTTTCACTTTCAAACAAAATGCCACTAAAGATGAATTTATTTACAATAATGACATTGCCACATCATTGTTATCAAGTTTTTTATATGAATTTTATGTATATTTAGAATTTTCCTTTCCAAATTCCTACCCAAATCTATGATCCAGATACAACCTAAATGAATTTTTTTATTGCTTTTAAGTCCTACTGAATAAACTAAACTTCAACTAAATAAAGTTCAATAGTCAGAGTTTGACAGTGATATAAATAGGATTCTATTTGGTTTGTGCCTGGCTGGTTTAATGAACCTGGTGAAGATTATCAATAAATCTATCTGATATATGAACTGAACTTCACCTAAATAAAGCTCAATAGTAAAAGTTTCAGAGTGATATTTTAAATGGATTCTACTTGGTTTGTGGGTGATGTTACATACTACCAGTAAGTGTGGGTACACACGTAGTGTGTATGAAGCAGTTAGATCAGAAAAGGGTTATTTAGGGTATAGGAAAATGGAGACAAAGCTTCACAGGGCTGTGTGATTTATACAATAGTATAGATTAACTTCTGAAAGATTCTACAGGAAATATTGAGTCAAGCTCAATTTATAGTTCCAGATTCCTTTTTGCCAAACAATACTAATAGGATACTCAACAGTCGCAATATATTATTTGCCATATGCAATTAAGAACAAGATTGATGAGCAACAATACCTGCGGTGGCCTTCAACAACTTTGGCCATGTTTCCATCATATGTAGGAACAAAAATATCACTCTCCAAGGAAACAAGATAATCCAATGCCGCCATCTGTGATGAATGATTCTGGAAAAACCTAAGGTCTGATGGCTCCAACAGTGTCTCCTTCCTCACCTATTACAACAGACCCAAAATCAACCAATAAAGACACAAAAAACAGAAAATCAGGTACAAAGCTCGAGGAGTTTACTTCAGCTTCATTTACTCACCAATTTTGGATACGCCGCTGCAAGACTAGCCATTCTCCTTTTTCCACCATAGATTTCTCCAGCTGCAATGTAAATCTGGATATTATGATCAATATCTAGTGCCTTTAAAGCAAGCGCAGTTTCCTCAGGTGTCAAAGGGCATAAACCATCTTTCCTCTTCAAGTCGGAGTTTACAATTTTCTCTTTCCACCATGGATAAGCATATCTGCCAAGATAAAGAAGTTAGCAACAGGATAGAGGATGAGAATTCATTTCCGGACAACCTTGTCGTGCACAAAGAAATACACTCACCTCATTCTTGTCAACTCGTCTACCTCCTCACTGTTGCAGCCCTGAGTACAGCCAGAAAACGCTAACATGTCCATTTCATATCTGAGATGAAGTACTAGGAAAGGCCCTTGTTGCCTTAGAAGCTTGATAACCCTTCTACCCAACTCCTCTATCTGAGATGTGAATCTGAGAGCACTGTAATTTACTCGGCAACGCAGCTTCTGAATCTCAGCTGGCTGGCCATTATTGGCAAGCCGAGCATCAGTTCTATTCAAATGCACAACTTTGTATTTCTGTATCAGAGGAAGAATCTGCATGCAATAAATGAATAAAATGATACTTAGTAAACGAGTCTGAATGAAGTAAAAGAAATTGTAACCAAACAATAAGATACCAACCTGATCATGATAGTAGGAAATGTCAGACCAACTAATGGGCGGCATGGTATGGATTATTCCTAGCTCAACTCTCCTCTTGAGCCTAGGAGGTAGCTCTTTCAATATCCGAACCTCATCTCTCAAGGATGAAATAAAATGACCAACATCAAATATGTCTTGAAACTCACTGTCATATCAAGTAAAAAGCATTGATTTTTAACATAAAGAAAAAAAATAAATAAATAAATTTGCAATTAGGCATTTTTTAAACTTAAGAAGCTAAGAAGCTAAGAGGTTTCAGGTATTTTAAGGGAAGTGTCAATTTACACACCTGGGATCAGCCCAGAAAGAAGTTTTATCTAGCTCAGGAACTATAAGTGTAACATTTAAATATCTTGCAATTGCAACCATATCGCATATCTGCACAGCAGATAAAGAAAAATATTAATTAAACATTATACATACCAAAAGCGACTAAATGTTCATACAAAGCAGAAGAAATGACAAGCCTATGCTTAATCCACCTAACAAGCCACTCACCGCTGCCCTCATTTGATTAAGCCCTCCATTGCATGAAACCATCAGGTACCCATTGTTCTTATAAACCCCTATAGACAACAAAACAAATTCAGATTGAGTAGAAAGATTGGATATTGGAATGTTGTTCAGAGAGAAAAATATTGCAAAAAGAATATCAGTAGTTAAGCAAAGTTGTTGGCATACGCATAAACAATACAAAATGTATAAGATTTAATGCCACTATTATTAGAAAGGAAAAGAATTGGGGGGAAAAGAGAATAGGAGACAGTGAAAGGCAAGTACAGAAGAATCATGTGATAACTAACAGACACAAACCATTTGAAGATAAGATATACGTTTCAACATGACTGGACTATAATTCACTGATCTTTTCAGCTTCCTTGTAGACTATGAAAGAGCTAAAGCAAAAAAAGTGCATACCACATCATGTTTTAACAAAGAACCAAAAAAACTTCAATGGGAGAGAGAGGAGTAACAGAACTGTGCAGTCATACAAGAACTAGGTGGCATTGGAGATACAGATTTTCAAAACACAAAAACCTGAAAAAACTGCTGCAATTCAAGATTTGGAAGAAAAAAAAACTCTAGTAATAATAGAACCCTGCAGCCATGCAATAACTAGGGGCATCATCGGGAAATGGATTTTCAAAACACAAAACGCTCAAAAAAACTTCTCTAATTTCAAGATTTAGAAAAAATTCTCATTACCCAGCATTGTACTTCTAACTTACTAAGAGCATCTCCAATCTAACATCAGATGTTTCATCAAATTTATTTGATGAAAAACGCAAAATGAGGCGCTCCAACCCTTTCACCAAATTCATATCAAATAGAGGCAAAACCAAAGCTTTCATCAAGTGAAGGGAGCCATTCATCTTTCATCAAATTTAAATTTACCATTGGGCTGCTGGACATCCTCCCGGATGTCCACCAAGAGTGATTTTGACAGCTTTTTTGTTCATGTCCAGACATCCTCCTGGACAATTGAAGATGTGAAAAAATCTAATGAAAATTCTAGTTTAAGCATTGGAGTGAACGGTATCAAATCAAAATTTTCATCAAAATTTTACTCAAATTTGATGAAATTTTTGATTCACGGTTGGAGATGGTCTAAGCACAGATAACACTGCAAGAGCAAACATGATTTCTAGAAAACATGGGTTCTTCTACAAAGCCATCAGAGCTATGATAGATACATACATGGCTAAGTAATTTTAGTAAACTCTTAACAAATTTACCTCCACATATACTCACAATTGGGTATATATATATATATATACAGTTAATTAGAACAAAAACTATTTATTAACATCATAAAATTAAAAACATAGCACCAAAAAAAAAAAACCCATATAATGTTTCTCCAATCTGAAGAAAGAACAGAAATAAATTATTATTATTATTTTTTTGGATAAGATTAGAAAGAACATAAAAATAGTTATATGAATAGCAAACTCACTCTTGGGTGGAAGAGCTCTTGCAGGAAGTGAATTCGATAATTTGAGGTCCAAAGCAGGTGAATCGTGAGAGAAACAAGAAGGCCAACCTTTCAAAACCCTAGGTCCCCACATCTCCCCCAATGCCGTCAACTGCACCAAACAAGTCCACAACAACACCGACGTCGTAGCTCTGATCATCCACAGCTTCATTCGAGGCCTCGAAACCATCGAACTCTTCAGCTTCGCCACTCTGCTCTCTCCCACCTTCTTCAACCCCATCACCACTCTCTCTCCTCACTCTTCTATCTCGATCCCCTCTCTCCCATCCATTCACACCCCAAGAACCCTAATTACAGACTCGAAGCGATTCAATTTGGATCAAAATCTACAAAACCGCCTCGATTCCAATCAATGCGAGATCAAAAACAAAAACGCCCTAAACTAACACCAAATCCATCAAAAATACTGAAAGTTTCGAGATCCAGAATTGCTAAAAATGGAAACGAAACCAAACGCGCTCTCGAATTCAATTCAAACCTCACCAAAAATTACCATAAAAAAGGAAACATTACATTTGCCTTTTCTCGAAGATTCCTTCCACAAATAGCGCACAAAAAACTCCAGCTCTCTCATACATTACCAGTAATGTTCAATCTTCATCGATCAAGCCAAGTACTGATCGCGAAAGTATTCAATTTTAATCAACATATATAGCAAACAAAATTGGAGAAGATTGTTCGATTTGTGAACCGATTCGAGTCGAAAATGACCGAAACTGTTCGGAGATCCGATAAATTTTCCGGCAGAAAGTGAAGGAGTCGCCGGAATTTGACGGCTCCGGCGGCCGTCGGTGACGAGAGAGATTACAGAGAGGGGAGAGAGAGATGAGAGAACACGGAGTTGTGCGGAGTAGCAGGAAAGAGAATAGTCGTACATTCACTCGATCGCTTCTTCTCGACCGTGGTCTAGTTAGATAGCCATAATCTTCTGTACGACGCCCCACGCCACTACCGTGTTTTTGGCATTTCCTTCATTTAGGCCTTGTTTGGGAAAGGGAATTTTTTAGCTAAAAAGACATTTTATAAATTGTTAAATTATTTTTTACTTTTCTGCACATTTAAAAAAAAAAAAAACTTAAAAATCACTAAAAAATCAATTTCTAAACACCCCCTTATTTTTGTTAAATTACACTCACCTCTCTTAAAATTTGAAAAAAATATAATTAATTTCACAATTTTGACATAGTTATATTAATCTTTTTTTTAGTATGGTTAAAATGACATAAATTAATGTCAATAGTGAACAAGTACTGAAATAAATAAAGATAAATATATGTTTTACTGAAAAAGAGATGACGACATCGTTTTTCATATGTATGACTAATAAATTATTGTTGAAAAATTGGCTAAATGTTATGTGAATTAAAACTTCAGGAAAGTTTTATAAGGACCTTGCTGGAGACCCCCACCACCCCACCTCCACGTGGGGCTGTGAGAGGAAGGCTAAAAAAAAAAATATTTTGCACCAATCAAAAAACAGTGGGGGTGGTGGGGGTCCCCACTGGGGATCCAAGCCATTTTCCTTAATATAATTATGTCAAAAATATAAGACTAATTATAATTTTTTTAAAACATAATTTTTTTTTTTTGTGATTTACCTTTTTTTGTGTGGTTAAATTTGAATATTTAAATTTTTTTCCCACAAGCGATCAAATTTTAAATTTAAAATAAAAATAATTACAAATTAAAAAAATAATTACAGAATAATAAACTACAAGTAAAAACAGTGAATTGTAGGATACAATTTTTGTGTACACTATATTATATTTATTTATGGGCAAATTTCGCCTTATCCCCTTGTAATTTGTATTATGTACAGTTTATCTCCTTAACATTCAGAAATGACCACATAACTCCCTTGTGATTTGTGGAATGAAGTGCACCATTAAACTTAACAGTTAGGGTGAAACACGTGGCAGGCTAAGGGGGTTATACACTTATTTTCAAATTTCAATAGGATAAATCGCACATGAAATAAAGCACGCAAGGGTTGAAGTGCACTTTACCTTCAAAACAAATGCCAAAAATATAGGAGTATTTTAGTCTTTTTGTTAAATCGTTAACGGGCCTAACGGTATACTTTAGTTCACAAACCACTTATGTAGTTATTTTCAAATGTTAAGGAGGAAAATAACATATGGCCCAAACCATAGAGGTAAAGTGAAATTTATGCTTATTTATAATTAATTTTTACAGTTTTTATTTATGTAATATAGAATTTTGAAGGGCTTTTCATCTCCCCTTCAAAATATTTACTACCAACTATGATTAGTTTGATTTCTTCAACGAAAAATAATAATGACAATTTTAATGAGAACTATAATAAATCATGCAAGGGCATGGTTAAAAAAATTTCAACCTTCAAGAAAATAAAGAAGAAGAAAAGTATGTTAATGGGAAATTTCAACAAAAGAAAAGTTCAAGGGATCTTCTAAGACAAAATCAAATGAAAAACTATTTCTTGTGGAAATTGCTTAATGGTGCTTGAAGATAATTTTAAAATTAAATTGATTTATGTAAAATTGTAGATATTAACATTCATTATTAAATATATTATAACTTTTCTTGAGAAATTTTAACATTATTCAAGAAACATACCATTTGATATGCTGTAGTACTATATGCACCAATTAATGTACATATTAGTGTACCAACTAATGTTATGTCATTATTACTGACTCCACTTATTATACAAATTACAAATATCTAAAATTTCTAAAATTATGTCACATCATTTGTTAGTATACTAGTTAATCTATTAATTGATATATATAACATTATTCTTTGACATGTTATTACTGTATTAATATAAGACATTAAAAGTGGGATAATTAAATTGATGAAACAAATCACAAAAACTACAAATATTTTTTTTTTTATTTAATTTGGAATAAATGTGAGCATATGTAATTTATGGCCTTTTTTGAGAAGTGCAAAACGTCAATCTATTAACTTTTTGACTTATTTAAATCATATTATTTCTATATTTTCACACATTTTTTTCGTAATAAATAAATAAATAAAAATTAACTTTTGTAACACTTCCCATGTGCCGAAATTTTTATCTAATATATTGTAGTTAAATTTGGTCCAAGACAAATACTAGTGTTTGATTGGACTGGGAGTCATTGAAGATTAAATTTACAGGCACAATTACAATTTATTATGAGTTAAAAATAAATCATAAATCAAAAACATCTTTCCCTTAGTTTTTAGATAATTAAATTTTTTTAACTTGTTTACATTATTTTATCTAATAGGTCATATAGAGAAGCTACATCAATCGATCTAGAATAAATTTTCAAATTAAAATAAATTATCAAAAACTCATTTAAATTGCACCAAACAATCCCATAAACTGACTATAAGACCAGTCATAAAATATACATGAATTGATAAATTAAAAAATAAAAATAAAACTTTAGTAACAAACATTATAAAATCTTGTCCATTAATATCTATTCATTACAAAAAAAAAATGTTTGAGATTTTTAAAAGTCTTATTTTAATTTGATTATCAATTTTTAATTTGTCATACATTTAATTATATAGGCTTCTGTAGGAGCCGGATAGTTGGAATAATCATAAGCGCACTCTGGAAGGAAGATATTACACGGCTCTACTCTGCATGATGAGAGTGCCGAATATAATGAATAGGCCGAGTAGATACTAAACTGTGGAGCCGGATAAATAGAAGAATGAGTGACAAATGGGCCTGGTCACGAAACCCAGGGAATAAGTATAAATAAAGGAATAACCGATTGAGAAAGGTATGTGAGAATTACTATGCTTAACTTAGAATACAAGCTTCCTCGAGTGTAGATACTAACTTGCCCATCGAAGTGCTAATTCCGGCACCCCCGACCGGAGTGTTTATTCTTTTTTAGGTGACCAGAAGAGGATCATGAGCGTTCCCCAGGATCAGAAGAGTATTTCCAAACCATTATCCCCACAATTGGCGCCGTCTGTGGGAATACCCAAGTACATCCATGGCGAGCATGACGGAAGATCCTCCGACAGTCACTGTCGACCCTATACCTCACGATGAAACCACTCCAAAAACTTGCTTGGACTAGAGACTATCGCCGCACGACGTGCCTTGAATTTCGCCTCACCCTCGACTTCGGAGCACGAGACAATGCAAGCGATCATGGAATAAGCAAAGCAAAATGAACAGAGGCTGGAGAACATGATCGCTGAGAACGAACGTCTTCATGAAGATTTGGCCTTGGAAATGGCGAAGTCCAAACAAGCTGCGCGCCTAAATCTGGAATGATCTCCGAAGGCAGGCGGTCAACAACCTCGAGCACAACAAGACACTGATAGCGACTCCGACTCATTATCCTCGGAGCCCAGTGTTAATCATATTATTTAATTTTGATGATGTCTAAAATATATTAGTTAATATACATATTATTTGACACAAATTATTATCTTTTTAAAATATATATATTTGTTAAATATTATTTAAATAAAATAATATTATCTTTTTAAAATATATATGTTAAATATTATTTTAAATATTTTCAAAAACTTTACTATTCACTTTTTGAAAAATAGGGTTAATTACTATTCATCTTTTGACAAATCGATTAATTATATTATTTTGACAAAAATGATTATTTTAAATATTTTCAAAAATAATCTGAACAAGTAATCCCTCTGTAGGTCGAAGTGCCCTTTTTCTTCTTTTGAATGCAAGTACAACTTCTTCTTTCAAGTGTTTGTATGTTTGTATGCTTTACTGTTTCCATACTTAGAATATTTTGCATGCCTTCAATTTTATTCTTTTAGCTGTACAGTTTCCTCAGAGTAAAATACCTCGGACATAACTTCCCACTTTTTTATCTCGGCCTTGCCTTAACACTTAAAAACATTTGTAAAAAATATTTTCACAAGTGTTATCTAAAACTTGCCACTTTACTTATTGTCTTCTATCAAGACTTCAGCCTTCCATATTTTCTAAGTTTTGGCAACTATGGGGGCCGAATATTGGGAGTCGTAAAGAGGCCGAGTAATTGGACCCGAAGAGTCGAAATATATACCTCACATTCAGCCCCGTCTTGCACATTTAAATCCTTCCTTATTCGGTCGAATAGCCGATTCAGTAAGGGGTCGAGTGAAAAGCGGTTTGCAACACAAGGAGTCGAATAAATAGTTATACGGCGAATTGAAAGTGGGCCCAGCCCCGAGGCCCAAGAAAGAAAAGATATAAATAGAAGAACATTAGCCAGAAAGAGGTATGTGAGAATTAATACGCTTAACTTAAAATACAAGTAACTAAGAGAGTATACATTGACTTAACCGTCGGAGTGCTAATTCCGACACCCCCGACCGGAGAGTTTGTTTATTTTCAGGTCGTCCAGGTAATCATCTGAGGATCTCGAGCGTCCCAGTGGATCAAAAGAGTATTTCCAATCCACTTCCCCACAATTGGCGCCGTCTATGGGAATACTCAACTACATCCATGGCGGGCGCAACGGAAGATCCTCTGATAATCGCTGATGAAACTACACCGCGAGATGATCTCACCCCAACAAACATGCTAGGACCAGAAACTATTGCCGCAAAACGCGCCTTGAACTTCGACTCACCCTCGACTTCAGCGCATGAGACAATGCATGCGATCATGGAACAAGCAAAGCAAAATGAACAGAGGCTGGAGAACATGATCGCTGAGAACGAACGTCTTCGTGAAGATTTGGCCTTGGAAATGGCGAAGTCCAAACAAGCTGCGCGCCTAAATCCGGAATGATCTCCGAAGGTAGGTGGTCGACAACCTCGAGCACAACAAGACACTGATAGCGACTCCGACTCATTATCCCCGAAGCCCAGGAAGAAGGGACGACATGAAACCACCAGTTCTTCCGAAGAAAGTCCCCGTACAATGCAGAAGCAAAGAAGGAAAAGTTCGGACGAAGACCAA